CGTTGAGTCCCCCGGCCCGAGCTCCCGACTTCTGGCGCGAGAGTCCCCCGGTCCGAGAGCCCCCGGCCAGCTCCGCTTCTGGCGCCGAGAGTCCACCCGCCCGGAGGTCCCGCTTCTGGTCTGTCGAGCCTCCGGCGAGTCATGGGCCACAGGGCTTGTCCTTGGCCTCAGTCACCTGTCACGAAGCCCGTGCTTCTCCTGGCCTCAAACCGTCCTGGGGGCGCTCTGTCCACCTAACCGCCTCGGAGGTTGCCTGTCCTGTTCCCCAACCGTCCTGGGGCCGTCTTCTCAACAGTCGCCCTGGGGTTCTCCTTGTCCCGGTATTCAACCCGTCCTGGGGGCCGTTCCTCTCATCAGCCGCCCTGGAGGTTGCCCTGGACCTGGTACCTCGACAGCCCTTGGGGTCGGCCCTTGGAGGGTTGGCCGTGGTCTGGGTATCCCACCGGGTCCTGGGGGCCGTCTTCTCATCAGGCCGCCCTTGGTCGTCCTGTCCTGTACCTCAACCGTCTTGGGCGTCTTCCGGGGGTCAGCCCGCCTTGGAGTGTTGCCGTGGTCCTGTTGTCCCACCGTCTGGGGGACCGTCCTCTCATCAGCCGCCCGAGTACCGGTGTCTGTACCTCACCGGTCCTGGGGTCGCCTTGGAGGTTCGGTGGGGACTCACCCCTGAACTCATCCTGTTGTCTTCCTGGAGGCTCATTACTCGGGCCTGGCCCCCTGAGTCTTCCTGCTGCTGCCTTCGCCTCATGCTCGGCCCCCTGAGTTCGCCCGCTGTGGTCTTCGCCCCTGGTCTCTGCCTTGCCCCCGGGCCGTCCGCCCGAGACCCCCACCATGGACTGAGCCTTGCCCCCGGGCCGTCCGCCCGAGTCCCCCACCTTGGACTCTGCCTTGCCCCCGGGCCGTCCGCCCGAGTCCCCCTCCTCGGCTTCTGCCTTGCCCCCGGGCCGTCCGCCAGATATCCCTTCCGAGCCCTCCGCTTTGCTCCTGGGCTGTCAGCCCAAAACCCGTCCTCCAGACCCCCTCCACCCACCCTGGTGGCCCTAGTTTTGTGTCCCTCCTCCGGTCCCCCTCCACCCACCCTGTTGGACTTCTTTTTTTTTGGGACGTCTGGGATCCTTTCCTTGAGTTGGGGGGTTCTGTCACACTCCTAGGTTTATGTCACGGTTTTAGTGTTGTCTGTCTGGTTATGGGTTTTGTAAGTCTGTTCATTCGGTGTTTTGTCTTCCTCCTTGTGTTTTGTCTGGTCCTCCTCCCTGTTTCCCTGGTGTGTCAGATTGTCTCATTGTGTTCACCTGTTGCCCTTGTGTTTCTCCCTCCCCTGCCCAGCTGTGTCTTGTCCTGTGATTACCCTTCTGTGTATTTAGTCTAGTCTTCCCCTGTGTTCCATGTCGGTTCATTGTTTCCCCTCCATGTTATTCCACGGTCTGTGTTCCTTGTGCTGCTCGTACGTTTTTTTGGATTTTTTGGATACGGCCTTTTTTTTGCCACAGCTTTTGTTATTTAATAAAGCTCATTTTTCGTTAATACTGCTTTTGGGTCCTACCTTTTCCACGCACCCTAACAATACCTCTCCGAGGGGCGTGGAGAGTGGCTCCTTATTTTCATCTAAAGTAACAGACAGAGAATCAGCACTTTTGAAACAGGGTTGAAACTGAGGGGCCTCTGGGATGCTGCAATGATCTGTTTGGTATTTCGAGCCAAACACTTCAGAGGCATGTTTTGTATCTGAGACCTATCATATATTGATGAAGAACAGTATAATAGGGGACCTTTAAAGGTGCCCTATTTTGCTTTTGGGGGGTTTCCCTTCCCTGTGGTGTGTTATATGGGATTTTGTGCATGTAAATGGTCTGCAAAGGCTTAAATCCCTGTTCCCTCCAGGGAGTTTCTCTCCCACACACTCCCCCATTCACTGAAAAGCCTCCATAGTGGTCCTTGTTTATTCCCGTAACATAGTGATATCACTATGTAACACTCGCTTCTATTAGCTAGCAATCTGACACATTGTAAGGTGCCAAGAGGCAAACTCACTCAATAGATTTTAGCAGTGATTACGCATTGTTGGACCGGACCCGGAAGTAAAATCAATGGGATTTCTCCATTTCAATTTGGTATATTGAAGAAAATAAGCTTTGTAACAACCAAGTTTATACTTACATGTTTTGTTCAGCAGGATAATCTCCACATATTGACACCACTTTGTGATTGTGAAGGCTAACTGCAATCACCAGAGGTAAAAGGCACATTTTAGGCTATAAACAAAGTACATCATTTCCTTTCATTTAGTCACTTATTAGCAACCGCGCTATTTATGACACAGTAGCTACTGACGTATTTCCTCATCAGCTTCTGTTAACTACAGACCTTATTTCAGACTTCTACCAACAAACACGTTAAAAAAACATTGACTTCAAGGCAAGGGAACAGGAAGTCATGAAATGTTACGTTTATTTCGGGTTTTGGGACTTATTAATGCACCACTTGACCAATTTGGGCTGGTTTTGATTGGGCAGGTTTTTTTGACAAACAAACACATGCATATTTAGCCTCTATTACGAACCAGATATGGTGTCAATTTAGCATGTATATGTCATGTCACTCTAAAGATTTGGGAAAACATGACTGAAAGTAGCACAATCCTGCTTAAGCTTCCCAAATAAACTTTAATTTGACCTAACTTATTGACTTGATCAAAATATACACAGGAATTAGCTTCCTGGATTAGCTTGTCTTGCTCACTGCGAGGGATATATTTCCACGGCAACTTGCTGGAAACTTGTGAATTGAACATACTGGATTTTTAAATATATTATTTGGGCCAGGGAGTGCCTTTATTTAGAGATACAGTGTTTAAATGGGGGGGAAAGAGGGGGGGGGGG